CACTATGCTTGGGGACCTGGTTTCCTCAGCCCAGTGCCATCTGCCCCCAGGCTGATTTGCAACTGTTTAGTTACAGAGAATCCCCCATGGCAGGAGATCCCTGGATGCGATTTCCACAGATGTCAGGAGGCTGGGCTCTGGAGGGTGGACACAGGGCACAGCTGAACTCAAGGACTCTGGGTGGTCAGACAGATAATCCCAGGCTCATCACCACCTGATATATGGCTGCGGGTCCCCAGGGGGACCTGCTGGGCTAAGTAATTGCTTCTGTCTTGATTACTGGCTGTCACAAATGACTGTGGCTTGTTTCCTCCAGTGTGTTCAAGTCTTACAAATGTCCATGCACACAGGCACTATCAGGACCATCTGATCGTTACCTTAAAAGGTTTAATTTGTTTAGCAAGGGAATTAGGCTATAAACTATTCAGAAATTATGGAAAGCCACATGTCAAAGAGATCCTCCTGCCTGCAGGTCCTTCAGCTCTCTCTCTCTCTCTCTCTCTCTCTCTCTCTCTCTCTCTCTCTCTCTGTGTGTGTGTGTGTGTGTGTGTGTGTGTGCACATGACACATCTCTGTCTGTCTGTCTCCTGGCAAGTGTATAGTTATCAGAAATACAAAGTGACTGAGCCAAAGTCTGACCCCAGACTGCATTCACAACCATCTACCAGCCCCAGAATGTTCTCAGCCTGGATCAACAGGCTCCCATCCCTACTCCCGCATCAAAACCTGACTTGCCACTGCCACAGCTTCTGCCCAGAGCCCTGTCTGGGCAGGCTTTTTACAGCCTCAACAGCCCAGCCTCCGACCCTAGGACAAGCCTTTTCTTCCTTCCCTAAAACTGCATGGATATCACTGCCCTGATGAGACTAGCTCAAATAGTAACCAGTTAGCACTTGCTTCATCTTCTCCAACCTCAATGGTAACTCATTCGTATTCCCACTTTAGAGATGGCAAAGCGAGGCTCCTTGATGTCTGATGTTTCAAGTTCTCACTGATCCCAGCTTAAAACCTAACTCCTACCCCTTCTATGAAGCCCATCAAGGAGAGCCCAACCTCGGTTCTTAAAGACATGTCCATATTCTAGGGGCCTCTGCCTTCAAATCAGATAAGGAATAGAGAGGTTATATTCACTAAGGGACTACGTGGAGGACACCAGTGAATCCTGTGCACAGCCAGCAAAACCACCCTATGACAGCCAAACAGCCAGCATGCTGCAACACAGCGTCCTGGACTGCAGGGATAAATCACACAGCCCCAAGGACGCTGCCTACCTGCCCTTGGCTGACAGCCACCTGGAGATTGACTGGCTGGGGGAAGGGCTGGCAAGGCAGAGGGAATGCTCACCCACATAGCTTGCTGGAGCTGTGTCCAGCACCCCTTGGAAGGTCCCCTTAGCTACCTATCACATTCAAGGCCTCAGGATCAGGGAAGCACCCCCCCCCCCGAGAAAAGCACTAACATCACAGTACTCTAGAAAGCCTGAGCCTGACTCCCACAGCCCCTACAGATCTCTGGTGGCCCAGGGTAGCCTGAAGCTCTGAATATCCTGGAATGACTTTGAAGTCTTTCCTTTACCTCACAGCCCTCCACTCCACAGGCCTGCTTGTTCTCACATCATAAGCATCATGGTTTCCCTTTCAAACCACATCTGTCAACAGGGCTTTCGCTTAGCCCCTGGCTAACACCTTCCACACTCCACTGCCCTACCTGCATGTGGGCCTCTGTAGACAGTTATATCTCTACCAGATGCTCTCAAAGCTGAAGAGAGACTAGGACAGGCTGGAGGAGCTCTGGCCCTGGAGGAGAGAGCTACAACAGCCATACCCTCCACACCAGGGCCAGGCACCCAGAAATAGTCACAAAACCCCTAGTGACACGTGGACATGGCTGGTTACCTTCTCCCCACACTAGAGGTCAGTGTGCATTCTTCAAAGGCAGAGAAAGGCTGGGCACTTGCTTTTTTGCTGACAAGCAGCTAGTAAAAGTTAGGACAGGTGCCACCAAGCCCCATCTAGGATCACCAAACTGCCTCTACAACTCCACTTTGCAAAGTGATCCTATGCACCATGGATCTTCTATAGCAAGTGACATCCGAATTCTTGCTTTTCCTAAAGAAAGCAACAAATCTGGAGATGCTAGAGGATCTGTTTGATGGCACCAGTGCAGGAACCCAGCTCCCAGAGCAGGGAATGCACCCTAAGTGCACTGTGCATCCGTTAGGGCTTCCTGCCACTTTGATGGTGATAAAAGAGTGGGCTCAGAAGGCTCCCAAACCCTTACTCTCCTTAGGCCTGGCCCTATTACACGGAGACATGTTGGACACATGGTCTGGAAAGGACTTGCTTAACAAACACAGTGCAACAGGATTTAGGACGCCCCTGACTGGACTCAGCAAATTACTGTATATTAGTACTTCTTCTCTTAGACTTGAAGATTTTATCTCCTTTGAAAAAGAGAAGCTAAAGGCCCAGAAAGCAAAAACAACAAAAGAAAAAAAGTCAACCCGTGTTACTGAGCAAGTCAGAAGCTACCTACCCTGTAAGAAAAATGCACCACAAAATGCAACCTCCCATTTGTAATTCTTTCTTTGGGTTTACAACAACATCCCCCCCTGCTGCCTATCTCCAGTATTACCATCGCTCCCTAGTGGAAGGATGACCAAGTCCTGACCCATGTGGCACTCACTCTTCACACCACATTCTGGACCTGCTACCTAGAATGCAGGTGAAGAATGCCCCCGAGACTGTGAAAAGCAATAAAGTGATTGTCCTGTCCCACGCTGTGGGCAAACAGATTATTCCAGGAACTTAGGACCACTGTGAGGGTCAGCAGAGTAGGGGAATCCAATCGCTGTCTCAGGGCTATGCAGCAGCTGCCAGAAAAGACCATAGTTTTCTTCCTCTGTTCCTTCCACAGAGAAAGGATTTCCCCTGCTTCTGACCAGTGACTTCCAGATTCCACACTTGACAGCACACTGCAGCCCATAGTACGGAGTGTGATTCCTTTTGCAGAGTCCCCAAAGGTGTGACTTCTGGTAGCCAAGTGTGATGAGAGGAAGTGTACCTACCACATCCCTAAGTTTCCCTTGGCAGCAGTTACTTGCATAGAAACAGGTGACATTTAATGGGTTATAATAAGGAGCAGGTTGCTCCTGAGCCCCAGATAGGCAGCAGATCCTAAAGTTCAAGGGAAGAGAAGTAAAGTTTTGACTGACAACCTGCTCCCTCCTAGTCCTTTCCTGGGATGAGGTCTGCAACATCATCTCATGCCTAGGAAGCCTCAGTTCTGGAGAACTGATGGAGGCTCATACATCAAGTCTCTTCATTGGACACTTGGAAGTTGCCAATCTTCCTCTCTGGCTAATGGCCTTGGCTTTACAGTTCTCTGCACATAGCACCCCTCACGGAGCCAGTGGCCTGCTTCAGCACTGGACCTGTGGCCAGCTCCCTCTCTGCTGCCAAACCCAGCTCAGCAGAGCAGTCTTGCAGAAAGAACAAAGGGAATAATTACAGTTGTGTTTCTCAAGACACCAAGCGAAATACAATAGAAAACTTCACTAAAGCCCTTGTAAACCCATTACGGAATTCCTTATTTGTTTCTCAAACCCAGCAACAGTCTGTGGACAAGGGTTCTACGGCTGGTTGTCTTTGTGGCCGAATAACACAGGACCCCAGCCAAAAAGGAGCAAGAAGCCTGCCTGAGTCAGCCCTGTAAGAGAAGGGGAAGGGAGATAACTGGAGCTCTTGTTATCAGGGAGTGTTCTCTGAGCTTCCACAGAGAAGCAGGGGCAGGTCACTCAAGAGTGTAGTCATCCTGCCTAGGAGGAAGCTGCCTATGACATTTGCTAAAGCAGGAAGGGAACCACAAAGAAGCAATGAGAAAGGACTAGAAAGAAGCCCTGGGCCCAAGTCTCTGAGAGAGTGAGTGCCACCGGGCAGTTGTGCAGGTAAAGGGGCCCTGGAGAAAGAGTGAGCTGCTCCTCTTCCCATCTTCCTTTGCTGTTCTCCACCTCTGACCCCTGTGTACCCACACCTACTCTCACTGTTGCTCAATGGGTCACACAGTCTCTCCTCTTTGTCTCCAGAGCAAACATGATCAGTGGGCTGTGCACTGTCCCCCTCCCCGTCCCATAGCCGGTCATTGGTCCCAAATGCATGGACTGGGTCAGCCTCCCTGGCAGCCCTGCTTTACTCTGGTGAGTGAGCACCCTCAACCCTGGGCTTGATTTTCCTTTGGTTGGATAGTCCATGTTGACTAAGCCATCAGCCTTAGGAACTGAGTCATTCAGAAAATAAATTCTTGGAGACTCTCCCTGACCCAAAAGGTTCATCGAGATTTTCCTGATGAACTCAGTCCCAGAATGAAAAGTCCAGGACAGCCTTGAGAGCCAATGCCAGGTGACCTTTCCTCACAAGAATTTTACATATATCACCCTATTTAAAGTCAATGTGAGATGAGAGCTCTATTTATAGCCCCATTTTACAGGTAAGTACATTGAGGCATATCAAGTTAAGTAGCTGACAGGGCTGGGCTCTTAACTATCCTATGAGACTGCCTCCTCACATATTCCCATTTCAGACAACAAACCCCATGGAGCCTAGCTCTGATCCCTCTGAAGCAACCTTCTCTTGCCTCTGAGGCCTGAAAGTAGCCAAGGAAACAGCCATCAATGCTCCTCTAGGTGTAGGGCACAAACTGGAAGCACCTGCTCTGAGAGCTCCCCCCGAATGATCTGGCAAACCCTGAGCCCAACTCACTAAGACAGAAAGAGCAGTCAGTTCCTCATGTAAAGGCTGGCCTGTGGCCCACTGCTACACCCCTCACTCTGAAGAACCCCAGGGAGGTCAGATGGCAGCAATGGGATTGAAGGGGACCTCATCAAGAGGTGTCACCAGGATTCATTCAACTCCTCAGGGGCCAAAGACCCTGCAATGTCCCTGCCCCCACTGCCTGAGGGAATGCAGAGGCAGCCGAATGAGGTACAGCAGGCTATGACTCACTTGAAGAAGTCCTCCTTGCAGTAGACACTCCCGGCCCTGGAGAAGCACCTGTCAACCAGCTGCATCTGGCAGTCCGCACACTTGAGACAGGAGCTGTGCCAGTGTCTGTCCAGGACCTTCAGGATGAACTTATCCAGGATGTGCTGGTTGCAGCCAGCACACTGGGGGATCTCTATATGGGGAGAAGAAAGAAAGAGGTAGTGTGAGTCTTCCACAGCAAGACCAGGTCCTGAAATTGATGCCACACAGGCCCAACCCTCAGGCTGCCACATTTTCACTACTATTAGTGAAATAGTAGTGTATTAAAAACATCAGCCCAAGCCGGGCATTGGTGGCACACGCCTTTAATCCCAGCACTCAGGAAGCAGAGGCAGCCAGATCTCTGTGAGTTTGAGGCCAACCTCGTCTACAGAGTTAGTTCCAGGACAGGCTCCAAAGCAATACAGAGAAAACCTGTCTTGAAAAACCAATAAATAAATAAATAAATATTAAAAACATGAGCCCAAAGCAAACTGTGTCTAGACATGGATTGAGACCATCTGGCCTAAGAAGTAAATGCTAGCAGGAGTGGGGTAAAGCCAAAGTCTGGGCCTGAGGATGCCCAAGGGAATCTCAGTGTCTTCATGAACTGAAAACGATGCCATGACTGGCTCCAGCTGTGTGTTGCCGTTGATATTCTTTCCTGTGCTTCAGGCAGGAAAGGCATACATTGGTTTTCCAGACTCCCTTTCACCTTGAGTTCTGAGCCAGGGATGGCATCCAGGGCCTCACACATACTAGGCAAGTACTCTATGATGAGCCACATCCCCAACTCCCAGCCTGTGTTTTGAGTTGGTCGCAGTCCACAAATCAGAGATACTGAATGAGATTTGCATTCAGAATTGAGTTAAGTGGATGGCAGTTGAGGAACAGACTTGCCTCATACAGATGTGGGTCTTAGGAGAGGAACTATGGTTGAAAGGTCCTGAACAATCATAGCAAAGGCAGTGATGTTCTGAGGGTGGGCATCATCCCTTGAAGTGCAGCAGTGAGCTGGCTCCTCCAAGATGATCAGCACTCGGTAATGGACCACTGCCCACTACAAGAACAAAGGTAGGTTCTGTTGCCTGCAATGAACTCTAATCACTGCCCCATCCTATTCCTTAGTGATTCCTGGTCTGCTTTTCTGACTAATCCTATCAAGGGATTATTTGGAGGTTTGATAATATCTTGGACCACTACTTCAAAAATCTGTAAAATGATCAGGCTTCTACAAAAAAATTGTGGGACAAATTGTGCTAGTGTCTCCAGTTATTTTTCCCTTTACTACTACATCCACACCCACCCACCCACACACACACACACACACTCATACACACTCATACACACACAGACACACTCTTACATACTCACACACACTCTCACACACAGTGACACACACTCACACAACTCTCTCTCACACACTCATACACACAGACACACACACTCACAGACACACACATTCACACACACATACACACTCACACACACAACTCTCACACATACACTCACACACATTCACACACACATACATACTCACACACACATACACACTCACACACACACACACAGAGGGGAAGTAACAGATAGTAAGACTAAAAGCATAAAGGTTCAAGCACTACCCTCCTCTAGTCTCCTCCAGATAACTCCTAGGGTTCACAACCATGAGCTTCCCTTATCTGTTATAATTAATATTTGCTAATTGTTTGCACATAGTTACTCCCACTGGCAAGAGGGATCCTGGGGGTGGGGCAGAAGCAGTGTTTCTCCCTTACCAATTAGCAGTTGCCTGGGCACAAGAGGACAGTTTCACAAGGTTGTCTACTAGACAGCAACTGCTTCAACTCTCACTACCAACATTCACTTGAAACAGTTCCTGTGTTCCCTCCATGCTCCACGGTGTTCACAACAGTACTAAATTTGAACAATGTTTTCCTACTCATGCCCGTGCTCAAGCATGAGATACCAATTTTAAAATGCTAGCATGGGGAAAACATTGAGGAAAAAAAAAAAAAAAACCAACATACCAAAATCTACATAACCACTGAGATTTCTTCTCACTCTCAGCTGAATGTGTGTCATGGAGCAAATAAACAACAAATGTCAGGAAGGATGTGGGTGGGAAGAGAACCCCACATATTATCAAAGGGAATGCACATTAATGCAGCCACTGTGGAAAATCCTGCAGATGTTCCTCAAAAACCAAAACTAGAACTGACCTATGTCTAGCATTGCCATTCCTAAGTATATATCCTAAGGAATGCTAGACAGCATACAACAGAGACACCTCCTGCTACCCATGGTTAGCAAGCCTGGGATCAGCCCAGGTGTCCATCAACAGGCAAATGGGTAAAGAAATGGGGCTAGAGAGATGGCTGAACAGTCAAGAGCACTTCCTAGTCCTACAGTCTTTCAGAGGATGGAGTTTTGGTCCCCAGTACCTACAAATCAGGAGGCTCTCAAACTGACCATAACTCCTGATTCAGGGGATCTAATACCCTCTTCTGGCCTCTGTAGACACCTGCACACATCTAGTGTATACACACACACACACACACACACACACACACACACACACTAAAAAAAAAATAAATAAATAAATATACATCTAAAAGGAAAAAAAAGGTGGAGCTGAGTGTGGTGGTGCATGTCTTAAATCCCACCTCCCAAGGGAGAAGAAGGCAGGTCTCTGAATTTGAGGAAAAACACAGGTCTCTGAATTTGAGGCCATCCTGAGCTACATGTTCCGGACCAGACATAGCAGCATTGGGAGACATTGTCTCAAAAACAGGGTGGGTACAGTATCAGCTGACCAAAGCTAGTGAGAGATCACTGACTTGGGTCTGACAAGGGAACTAGATTCCCTTGATATAGGTGACAATGGTGTGACTGGGACAATATATGAGGCCATTGGTAGTGGGTCCAAGATCTAACACTAATGCACAGACTGACTTAGTGGAGCCCATTCTATATGGAGAGATACCTTGCCCAGCCTAGACACAGGGGTGTGGGGGTGAAGAGGTGCTTTGATCCTGCCTCAAAGAGGACAAACTTAGTAGACTACCTAGGGGAGGCCTTACCCTCTCCATGGAGCAGATGGGGGAGCAGAGTGGGGGGGGAGCAGGAGAAGAGGAGGGAGGGGGAACTGGGATTGGATGTAAAAAATAAATAAAAATGAAAAAAGGTTAGAAGGAATAATAAGATTGATTTTTAAAGGGGGGATGGGTATAGTTACACAATGGAGTTTATAATTCAGTCATAAATAATGAAATTAGGACTGAGCAGATTCTAAACAACAACAACAAAAAGATAGGACTGGAGATATGGTTCAGCAGTTAAGAGCTCATAGAGGGCCAGAGTCCTGTTCCCAGCACAGAGTGTCTCACAACCACTCCTAACTCCAATTTCAGAAGATCTGACACCCTCTTCTGACATCCCCTGGCACCAGCCAGGCAGGGTGCATAGACAGGCATTCAGACATATTATTCATCCACATAAGAAAAGAAGGAAGGAAGGAAGGAAGGCAAGAAGGCAGACAGAAGCAGGAAGGAAAGGGAGGGAGGTTGGGAGGGAGGAAGGGAGGAAGGGAGAGAAGGAGGAACAGAGAGAGAAAAGAAAGGTGACTATTTGGCAAAAGAAAAGGAGCAGGGAACTAGAGGGATATGGGGGCAAACAAATGTGATAAAATGCATTATATACATGTATTAAGAACTCATAATGAAATTCATTATTATGTATAATTAATGTATGCTAACAAAAATATCTCGCAAGCATCCGTGTTCAGAGTATGCTTTCTAAACCATCAAGACACTTAACTGAACTTGGGATATTCACTAAACATCAATAGTCCAGTAACACCCAAGTGACCACCTTGAAACCAATTAAGCCCCAACCTCCCCTGTCCCTTTCAGAGCTCAGAGTACCGCCAGCATTCACTGAAAATCAGAAATGCTAGTCTACACTTTGCTGCTTGACTCCTTCAAATACCAGAAGCGCCAGGGAGAGAGATGCATGCTGGACACTTGCTAATTACCCCAGTTTGCACTATGGAACTTTTTTCTTTCTACTTCATAGATTTTTAGCCCCCCTCCAAACCAAGAATGTGACACACACCTGTCATCCCAGCACTTAGGAAGCTGAAGCAGGATGGGGAGCATGAGAAATCAAGCCATATAGCAAGACCTTGGCTCAAACAAAATTGGTTTTCCTCTGTGAGAAAGGCATTTTTTTAACTGGCAGGTACCTATGGAGGAATTCTAATTGCCCACAATAGTGACTTAACAAAAGCAATGGGAAGGGCTGGGGTTAACTGCCTGAGTTTGAACCCTGGCTCTGTTTTTTTCACCTTGGACAAATGACCACTTTACCTCAGCTCCTTACTTGGAAAACTGGAGTGATGAGGCCAATACTTACCCCTCCCCCGCCCTGCAACCCCCTCCCCCCCTGCGCGCGCGCGCGCGCGCGCGCGCGCACACACACTCACACACACACACACACACACACACAGATTACTGCTGTAAAGGGAACACTATGTCGGGAATGCCAGGAGAGGGCAGGGTATACAGCTGACCTCCATGGAGTTCTTGTGGTTACACTATAAGATGAGCGACTAAGGTGTGAAAAGTCCTGCCAGCGTGTCTGTGGGACATTTCTCTAACTTAACTCACTGCCTGCCCTTCAGTGTAGATGCAAAAATTGGCCATCGTGGGCAACCCTGAAAGGCTTGAGGTTTGCCTGTCTGCCTCAAAGTAAGTATTTATCCAACCTGTGGTCTCTCTCTCTGGGGCTACTAGGGAGTGCACCCCACCCCCAAAGAGGTGGGGTGGGGGTCAGGAGAAGGCTTGGAAAAAGTGCTGCCCAGGAGAGACTGAGGAGACACAGCACCACGGAGGATAGCTAAGTCAAGCCAAGCCTCCAGCAAGGGACAGTGGCTGGTCCTGTCCTGCAGTGGAGGGGTTGGGTTCGAGGTTAACAGCCTATTTCTGGCAGGGAAAGGCAGATAACTTCAGATCAAGTAAGTGAATCAAGGACAAAGATGCAAAGCCTGCAGAAGCTGAACGAGAGGAGAGTCACAGTGCAGCACCGGTTGCCACTTGACTGCAGTAACCACTGCGCCAGCCACCTGCCACTGCTGGGCACGGGCTCAGCTCGACAGAGCACAGTTGGTCACACCTTGGTCACGGTCACGCTGCCTCAACCGCCGGGACTTCTTTGTGGAACCAAGCGAGCCAGCGAGCCAGCCGCTGGATTCTGAGCAGGAAAATTGAGTGTTGCAGCGGGTTCTCTCTTGGCTTCCCAGGGCCACAACCTCATCCTACCCAATTGTTTGGTCTGCTCTGCGAGGAAGGATACGACTGTATTTCTCCTCCAACCTACAAACGCATGTGATGCGGGCGAGGATGTATGGCCATAAAATTTATTTCGAGCAAGGTACCTAGCAGGAGACTTAATATGATGGGTATTCGAGAGAGAATACATTAGAGCTAATGTATGCAGGGAGCCGCGCTGGAGCGGGAGTGCAGAGCACACCACGGAGGAGCACTGAAGGCTGGCAGGACCTGAAGGCGGTCTAGTCTTCAGCAAGGAGACCTCTGGGCTGATCAAGCTGGGACATCCAACTAGGGGTGTCCAGGGGTGGCCTGGGAACCAAATCTGGGGTTTGGCACACATGTAAGGAATAGATTAAAGGCAGTTTATGTTCAAAACCTTTCCAAATACATTCCACTATCAACTGAAAGAGATAACAGAAACACAGAAAAGGGGAGGTTTTAAAGTAAAAAAATAAGTTAAGGACCATTGGAGAAAGACCCAGGATGTGCAAAACTTAGAATAGTCAAACCAAGTATGGGAGACCTGTTGTGAAACAGTTCTTAGGCAGATCATGCTCACCCAACTAAGCAGGGAGGATTGTGTCATCCCCCCACCACCACCACCTTCACAGATGAAGAAATGCCTGCAGGGTCAGCAGTGTGCCCAGAGCCCATGGGGGTGGGTGGGAAGTGAGCCTGAGCCTGGCAGAAGTCTTTAACCTGAGCCAGTGCTAAAGAGGGCTGACCTGCCTGCTACCACTCACTCACCTTACATTTCTAAACAGAAAATGTACTCTTGTGCTTCCTAACATTTGAACAAATGCAAATATTCGAGACACAACTTTAGGATTTGTGTCACGATGGGGTGGATGCCTAATGCCCACAGGAGGGCTGGAAGCCAGGAAGACCCTGCCCATGAAGATATGAAGATCTCTTCAGCTGGGAAGAGCTGGTTTGTTGATGGTACCTGTCAAGTTCAGACCCATCCCTTCCCCTAAGAAGGTGCTGACCCTACATTCTAGGCTACACAACCCCATTTGATTAGTAAAGATTGAAAATTGTCTGGAAAATTTTCAAACAGCTGCAATGTCTTTTTTGATATATTGAATTATTATTATTATTATTATTATTATTATTATTATATGTTTATTATTTGGAGAGCCTAGCCAAGACAGAGGTCATGTAACCTTCCCATCAAGATTAGAGCTGCACATACCATTTTAGAGGCATTAGACTTTGCAACTCTCTAGTAAAGCTCAGCTTTGGCAGTTTTTAGTAACATCACAAAGTCCTCTTTTAGAAAATGGAATTTGAGAAGATCCTTGGAAGATTTAGATGACCTCTCCTGGAGGGCATCACCCTGCATGTGGAGTGGAGGGGGAGGGGAGGGTGGTCAGAGTGCATGTGAGGATGGGAGAGAGGGAAAGAGGGAGGGAGGGAGAGAGGGAGGGAGAGGGAACTGGAATCCATATGTAAAATAAAAATAAAAAAATAAATATAAAAAAGGAAGATCCTTGGAGTCATGATTCCAATATGTAAATTCAGCTCCCAGTAAGAGGAGTCATTTCATTTGAAGTGTAAGTGTTCGTCCTAGCTGCACACTCAGTGACATGGTGATGGTGTCTGTTAAGGCT